TAGAACAGAAGCACAGCATGGAAAAGACCATATCACGAAGGCAGCCCTGTGCAGGAAGGAAGTGGTGCTGTCAAAGAGGGGTGGGTGTAGAGAGAGGAGTTACTCATATGCTGCCAGCTGTGAAGTGTGGGAAACCTCTGAGGTCACAACCGGTGCTGCTCGCAGATGGACAGCAGCTGGCCCCTCTAACAGAAGGGCTCCTGCAGGTATCCTCTCTTTCCCCTCCTCAACAGATGTTTTGTGGTAAGTAGAAGGATGGAAGTAGCCATAGGACTATACAGGAGAGTTGCAAGCAGCAGGTAACAACATCTGGAAACTGCAGAAGAACCAAACTATGCAGGACACAGAAATGCTCTTTTTAGCAAGCGGACTGTCACCCAAGAGGCCAGCATCTGCCTTGGAGGAACACTGTAGAGAGAGGCTTCCTATCCCCTTTCTGTGGCAGCACACAACTTCCTTTCCTATGAGGGACGGTTTGATTCTATCTTTGCATAGCTTTATGCAAGCTGCAAAGCACACACCCTCCTTGTTTCTGCCTGGCTTTCCATGGTTGTAAAATTCTGCTTTCTGATTCTGATTTGTTCTGAAGCTTGTTTTGCTTGCCTTAACTGGTTGTTCTGAGGTCGCAGCCTGTCCCAACTTGCCTGATATCTTGGGCTAAGGTTCCAGAAATCCTGATCAGTAGCCATGCGGGCTGAAGATTTCAGCCAGCCACAGTCCACAAGAACTGGCAGGTAACCAGCTTGAGGAAGGCTGTAACGCATACTGTTCTTTGAAAGAAATTGCCTTTTGTATCCCTGTGTACCGACATACATATTTTAAATAAACAATCGGAATAACAAGAACCCTTTCCTTCTGGATGGATTTTTTCTAAAAATATACTGCCAACCTGCTGCTGCTTTTATTTCCACCACTGGCAAAAAAAAAAAACCCAAGCAAAAACAAAAACACAAGTGTCAGGTACTTGTTAAACATAGGGAAATAGCTTTTTCTGGTTAAGCTCTGTCAGTCCCTTGATTTACAGGTTTAAAATTATTCAGTGCTGGTTGGTATTTAGTTTTTATGGCTTTAGCTCTTTTCTATGATTGTATGCTGTTTTATGGTGATATTTGTAATGTTTGTTGATTCCAGCTAATTGTTCTTTCAGTTTGTTACTTGCTTTCCCTCTTCCTTTGGATGAAAAATACTTAACTTGACTGGATTCTCTGATGTAAAACCCTCTGAACAAACCTCTTGTCTCTTATAAGGATGGACTCCTGCATCTTGGATGCAAGCAGAAGGATTTTAGACCGTGAGAACATGACATTTGCAAAGGAGTAGGTGTACATTGTAGGTGCATACAAATTATTATTCCGTTAATCTTCAAAAGAACTTCAAAAACTCCCTTGGTGTTGATAGGAAGAATACATAATGCAGTGCTATAAAAGATGATACACAAATATGCCACCTATAACCATATAATGAGATTGTCAGCTAGTGAAGGCAATAGCATGAGAAGCAATAGCCAAAGATCATTCAGGGTCTAAATCATTAGTGATTAAAGAGTATTAACTTCTGTACTCTTTAATAGTCTGGATGATATAAAAATAATTTTTATGATAATTTTCCAAAACTGGACTCTTTCATCTCTTAGGAATGGATGAAGTTCATGTGTGGGCACCATGACAAGAAAACTAGGAGTTTCCATATCCCACTGAAAAGAAACAAGACTGGAATATCAGTTCCAAAGAGTTTGAAAGGATTCCAAGCAATATCAGTTGGGAAACAAATATTTGAAAACAAATATTCCAAGCTCACCTCTGTTTGCAGAGATATCCCTGTTTTTATTAATATATGAGAAACTGAACAGTTCATCTTTGTGAGGAAGGGCATCTCTACACAAGCTGCTTATTGTGTGCTCAGGACTCCTCAGCTTGTGGGTGCTTGCTATGGCATTGGAATCCCTGAGGCCCTTTTGCCTATGCTTTCCAAGCATCTCCACACTCCTCCTCCCCCACCCCCCAAGCCCCCATGGAGAACAGGAGCTATTATGAGGCTATCACACTAAACCAAGCTAAAACAAAGAGGTGTATTTCTACAACTGCAGTCACCACCTTGTGATTGTGTGATGGAACATATAGCAAGATTCTGACAGACAATTCTGGGAAACAAAACATGGGTGAAGGAGCCAATCTTAATTCCACAAAGAATCTGGAAGCAGAAGCCTTGATAAAGCTGTGAGATAAAAGCTTCATGTGGAGAAGACTTTCACGTACTTTAGATCTTGGCTGTTATTCTTAATATATTTTGCTTATTTCCACATAAAACTAGGAGTGTTACCACCTGAAGAACTCAATGCATGTGTCCCAGAAGGATTTAGCTGCATGCCTACCCTTCTTCGGATTGCATTTGGGAATGTGAAAATCTGAGCTTGTTGAAGATCACCTATTCTCACTTTGAAGATTTCCGAACTTGTGCTCATATCAGATTGCAAGCTTTTATTCTTTCACATAAAAACATATGTGCATTTCAATATGCATTGTGTAAAGGTACACATTTCTGTGGACATGGTTAAAAAGTCTACACTTCTCTTCCATGGATTAGAGCACAGAATGCCTTTTTCAAAAGTGCACAGCATTTTTCCTGTATGCGTTTCCAATGAGTGCATTATGAATTTGCTTTATGTTTGGCCCATATCACTCTGCAAGTTCAGAAACATGTGGACTTTGACTGAGATTGCATTTGAATCCATGTTTGACTTCCTGAAACGTAAACACCTGCGTGCACTGTGGTCTGAAACACATCTCTTGTACATCCCAAATTACACCCCTGCTTAACTTCTGCCTGTGTTTAAACTTACCCAAAATTAGATCACCCCAGATTACTTAAGACCTGAACAGAGGCTTGGGCTTTGGCAAGAAGCAAGTATTAGAATGCACTGTTAAAAGCTGTGTAATTATTAAGCCATTTTATTTGTGTTTTCTGAGTCAGCTGGCAGAGACATCAATTTAACAATCTATCTATCACCAAGATTATCTGTGAGACGCAGCTAAGAATATACTGTACTACAGATTACATTGTCTTTTTGTGCAGAAGTATTGCTTCATCGCAGCTGCTTTGTATGCTGACTAGCCCATTAATCTGTCTCTCAGCTTCTTAACTGCGCTCCAGTCCTTGTGCTCCATGTGCACTTAGGAATGGATAGTTTCTAAGGTTCAGGGTCACCAGACTTTTACTGGCTCTGCTGCTGTGCCTTTAACATGGCACACAAAATAAAATGGATGATGCTCTTAACCACTTTGTCTCCTTACCAGGAAAAGTTCCTCTTGCATGTCATGTTGCTGTTGGATGTTGGCAAATGTGCAGATATACACTTTGCATACATGTTGTAAGTATCTTAGCTATTGTTTGCATCCAGTTTTCATCATTCTCTGAAGTCCTGCCGTACAGTTACCCCTTTGGTGAAAGTTCTGCAATTGCATATTCCCCTTAATTGACCTCATGTCACTTTATCCGTTGTCATGGCCATCACTTGTGTTACTGCATGCAGGATTTCCAGTTTTGAAGAAGTATATCTTTTTGATTGTTCTGGAAAGGAAAGCATGACTCAGCCCTGTGTTCTTTTTCTGAGCAAACTGTTCCAGATGTCAAGTGGTGAATGGTCAATTTTTCACAGTGATCTGTAGAGGCAGTGCTGGCATTTCAAGAACAACTTGGGGCAGAGAAACCTGTTGGCAAATCAGTCCTATAGTAGTAGCGCCGCAGAGCTGCAAAACACCAAGGTCACAATCCAGTCGAATTGAAATCCCAGTGGCCGGAAAGGTGGTGTCCAGCACATGGCTAACGAACACCTGTAGACAGCAATAAAATGTAAAAGCAGATTTAGTGCTGAATTGTTTCCTATTGCCCGTGCTCTATGTAAGTATGAAAAGTATGATTTCATAAGGCATTGGCCCATCTTTCATTGGTATTTTTGAAGAATGCTTTAAGGTGCTTTTCCAGCTGGCTATGGTATCCAGCTATTAAATGAGACCTTTTTGCCAAAGACCTTGCATCTGTGGAGGTTGTGTGCTCATTGACACAATGAAGCCCTTTGGTTAGGCAGCAACTAGAAAGGTGAGAAAACAGGATATGCTTACAGTTCCACACCAGTTCTTAATTGCATCATGAAACTTGGTGGCTGTTACACTGTGAAGTGCCTCCTCTGCTATTTATGTCCCCTGTGGATATTTCTTAGTATGGGCTAGAAAATGCATGAGAATCTCTTGTGCATTCTTGCCAATTGAGGTTTTATGTTAAAGGTGTTAATAGATGTTAAAGATGAATACAGGCGAAAACCAATTTAAGCTTCTTATACGAAAACACCTAAAAGTACCTCCTAAAATGCTGGGCATGTGCTAGAGAGAAGAAACAGGGGAGCATCTCTTGCCATAGGCCCCGGTTGACCCCTCCAGAAAACAAAATTAGGTAACTTGATGGGGTTGCTTGATACAACAGTCATATGATAATGGAAATTTTTTGAAGGTACAAGTGTGAGTGTTTTAAGGAATTAGACACCAAAAAAAGAAGCTTGAATCATTTTTTATTTAAGACTATTAACTGATGTCTGGAAAGCTGAGCCTTTTTATAACAAAGGTTTCCAGAGGGAAGTTTCCACCACATAATTTAAGCTGCCAGCCTTGTTGCTTTCATGTTTGGTGGGTACACCAGGTAGGTGTTGTCTTCTCAGGAAATGGTGACAATAATAGCATTGCTAAAAACACAGTTGTATAGGGCCTTTTGGATATCTTCTTTAAAGAAATGGTAGGATCTGAAAGCATACAGCCAGGAAACCTTTAGTTGTGTCCAGCTGAGAGTGGTGTATTCGCTACAAAATCCTTTCATCACAGGAAACTCATTTCTTTGCATGCCAAGCTGTGTAGCTTTAGGGTACATATGTTACACTTCAAAAATCCCCAGTGGTTGATAGTGGATGCAGTGAAGACCTTGATTTATATGCCATGTTTATTCTGCACCTTATTTTATTCTCCCAACAAGTCCCTGGAAACACAAAGAGAGAAAGTTAAAAATGGGTATATTGTTCAGAACACTGGTATGTGCTCATTCTTCATAAAATGTAGGTAATGAAAGTTCTTTAATGTCACCTTCTGCAATACTGCCATAATTTCTCCAATTGTATATAAGATGGCCCAAAATCTATGTTACATCTAACATCATTGGTGCAAGGCAGCCAAAGTTAAGTCAATGGTGGGAAATGATTACACATGTTTGAATCAATGGAATAAGCAAGTCAGTTCTGTGTGTATTTATTCACATGTAATTACCACTGGGTTGAATGGGGATTATTTCTGTGTAGGTGTGAATGCGATTACAGTCTCAAATATGCTTCAATCAATCTTAAACATTGCATTTGGTAGTTGTTGTTTAAATAAAGCCGTTAGACTGGGATCCTGCACATTTTTACCCATGATCTGAGTTTTGTTTACAGTCATGGGCATATTGTATATGTCAGAGTAAAGTTGGGGTGTGTGTAGAAATCCCTACAATTTTATTCTTTTCACCCAGTCCGCTCCTTTTTTTGGGGGGGGGGGTCTGTTGTTGTTACCATTGTGTTGCAAATAGAAAGATTTAAAAATAAAATAAAAGAGAGTAAAAATTGTAGAGAATTCCAGGCTGGAATTCCTATAAAACTGAATGCCCTAAATTCAGGACAGAGAAAAAGAAGTACTTCTTCAAAGGGCATATAATTAATTGACTGGATTGTCTACAAGGATGGTGGTTTTAAAAGCAGATTAGACGCATTTATGGAAGATACATTCACCAAGGGCTAATGGGTATGAGGCCATATGCTTCCAAATATTAGTTGCTGAAGAGAAACCATGGTGAAGCAAAGCCAACTTGTGGGTTTCCAGAAGTATCCAGTGGATTGCCAACCCCTAGATCCACACAGATGCCAAGTGGTAGATGACAGATATTTGTGAATGGTGTATGTATGTGTGGATCAGTGGGTGTATGTGAACATGGCTTAGACCTTCCCCATTTTTCATATTGGCCTGCTTGCTTTCAGGTTTGGACCCACCTACCACTGGCATGTGACCTGCTAGAAGGTTGCCCATGGTGGAATGGAGCTCTTGGGTCTGCCCACTCATGCTCTACCTAATGATGAGGTTGTCATCATCACGTCCCAGTCCATATGCACATGACAGCTGGCAGCATCCTTGGGACTCTCTTCATATTTTGCCTGGCTGAAAATTGTGGTGGTCTCACAGGAGTGGTGCCATACCAAAATAAGCGGACAGACTGCTTTTTGATGCCCCACCTCCCTGTATCCAAAAGCGGTTTGTTGGTTTGCGTGAGCAAGGTATACTAAGGGCTACTAATAGGGGAAAATAGAAAGAGAGCCTGTGTGAGCCCCTAGAAAATAGCCGTTCTCTTCTTAAAGGTCTCTCTTTCACAGCAGATATGCCGTCACATATACTGTAGATTATTGGGGCCATCCAGATGTGGTGGAATACAGTTCCCAACATTCCCTCAATCAGCCAGGGTGGCTGGGGAATGCTGGGAGTTGGTCTAACGCATCTAGAGGGCACCAGCTTGGGGAAGGCTAGTAAATATTAAGTAACAAAGTGGTAATAAGCAGCATTTCCCCCTGCACTAGCAGGTAATCCAAGAATAACTCAATATGGTTAGCCAAAATTCAGGCACCTCTGGGTCACTTTTTGGTTAAGCAGCCACTTCAAGAACTCTTGGGTAGCCATTTCATCCAGGATTTTGTGGTATTCACTGGTGAATGTGCCATCCGCGTGTCTTCTGCCAATGTTGTCGGCTGAATCAGCTGCTTCTGAGAAACTTAAAGGGGAAAAATGGACAAACTTTTCACATCCTTTCAGGTCAAAATATATGTTTCCTGTCTAATCCTTATTTTTTTTCAACTTTTACACAAAAGAGGCATACAGGATTGGGGTTTATATCATCCTAATAATCACCCTCCCCAAATAACACCAACAAGGGATCGTATTTAGACCCCCCAAACCATTTCTTTAATATGCACAACTAATAGAGGGAAGCCTTGGATATCATTCAGCCAGTTACATACTGTACATGTCCCACTGATTTGGGCAGCATGCATGAAAGCTCGTGCTTAGCTCTGCCCTCTAAATAAATGGAAATTACCTATGGCTGCTTGGCTGGGTCATGAATAGTACTTGAATCACCTCAGAAGTATTTGTCTGGCCAAGTACAGAAGCCCAAACATTCGTGGCCAGGTTCCACCAGTGGTGATTCATATATTAAGCAGATGGACTTTTCATAAAATGGGCATTTCATCCATCCAACGTTCTTATTCTAGTAGTTGTACCAACAGGAATTCCCATTTCTGCAGCTATAGCCACTTAAATCAGTTGGAAGAACTGGATTATGGACTGAGATTTGTATATACATACTTAGCCATCGAAGGGCCTCCCATGCTGATCCATTAAGACCAAAGGAACTTTGTCACTGAACTCTTTAAAAATGTTGACATAACATTTCAGTATTTTCTGAGAGCTGTATTCCCAAGGACAAGGCCATTCACCTTATCATGAACAGTACTTTATTTCTAAGTGATATAAAGTACACACTCAAGCCATTTTTTAAATTACTGCCCAAGAAGACAACATGGTTTCTCAGAATCAAGTGAGCCAATTTCCCCCATGACACAGGTATTACACAAGAAATAATAAACATTTCCTGAGGAAGAGCTCCGAGTTCTGTGCTTATACTTTTAATCAGGATCAGAAACAGAAGACAGAGTATATTATGTGGTCGGCTCCAAAGCAGTAGTTGGAAATAATAGACAGTATAAAAATGTATTGTAAACATGCAGATTCTGGTATACTTCAGAGTTAAATGTCCTCACAGCAGAGCCAACTGTTCCATTCACCCATTTCTTTTCACCTCCAGATTTTAATGCCTAAGAAGGGTTTGGGGGATGGATATAGAAATATCTTTCTGTTAGCAACATCAGATGGTACTGATGGTTTTGCTGAGAATTTGTAACAGCCTGCTGTATTATTTTCCCAAATCCTTTTGATGATGTGTAAGTAGACAAGCATATGGACCAAAATCCTGTTCTTGCTTTAGGGCCCTGAGGGTTCCTTTCAACAGGTACACAAATGGAAGTGACAGAGCAGCCACTTGCTGTGCTCTCCATCAAACTTATGTCTTAGATTTGACTGGTAATAAGATCGAAACAAAAGAGTAAATTTCAAGGCTCCGTTATGCTCGATCGCTGCTATGTAAGCTCCCAGGACTAAATTGTGCAAAGAGAATCTCATGTCATTACAAACCACAAAAAATAGCTTTGGGGGACGGGGTTGATTTTGAGCTTAGAAAGCTTGTGGGGAGAGGGGGTGCCAAGCCCTTTCCCATTTGTCATTTCTCCAATGCAGATCTCACTCCCCTGGGAAAGGGGAGGAAGGAAGGGTGATGTGGCCTCTCTCTCCTCCACTCGTTTTTCTGCATAAAATCGGAAAGGTTCATGGCATGTATCTGTGTGAAACACATCATTAGCCACTCAGAGGTGTATCGCTTAGCAAGGTTAGAAGGAATCAGGTGCAAAGAACACTTTAACAGTTGCCTTTCAATCCTGGATGGCCGCTTTTGTTGGACTCAAGGGCTAATACCTGATAATCCACATGATAGGCAAAAGCAGCAAACATGCCTTAAATTCACTGCGTCTTGTGAAATTTCTCCTTCCCGTAATGACACTTAAGCAAGGTATCTTAGGACTAGCATCAACCCTCCCAACAACTTATAACCCAGTGTTTCAGAAATACCTTTTATTGATTGGATTCCTTCCTAAATTCCAGCACACGTTATTGACTCTCATATCTCATTTTATTATGATGATGGCAATAATCATCCATTTTTATCAGTGCTAATGACATACATGGTGCCTTTACAGCTGGCGATATATATTTTGAGCGTGGAATCTGAGGCAGAAAGAATAAGAAAAGTCCTGCCCAAAAGAGCTCACAGTCTAAAGGTAGAAATAAGTACAGGTGGGAAAGGCATGTCGCTCTCTCTCAGCTGCCAGGCCATGCAGGCAAATGTGTCTGGGGCTTGGAGACTGCTGTGAGTGGGCTTATTAGGGGAGGAAATGAAGCACAAGAGACACTGTTCCAAATGTACAGTCGCTGAGAGAGAGAGAGAGGGAGAGAGAGAGAGATCAAAGTCAGTAGTGGGTAGAACAGACCAAAGAGCCAAAAGAAGGGGAGGTTGTCAAGAGAGTGGTGAGAACAGGATGTAGGTGGTTACTGATGGAGTACAGGTTACTGATGGAGGTGTTGGCAGCCTAAAGTTATGGCATGCTTTGAGGCAGGGGAGGGGTAAATATTCAGTGTATTGCAGAATGAGAGTGGGAAGGCAGAAAGAAAACTTTAGAAGGGATGGAAAGACAGTGACAGTGTGATGATTAGTTTAGCAGCAACTTCTCAAAGAGGCTGAGGAGGAGAGCCTTGGAGAGGAGGGGTTTGTACAAACTTTGGAAACCAAAAGAGTTTGACAAAGCAGAATGCTGGAAACACTAGAGGAAAACAAATGAGGGCTCTGGGCAAACGGGAGAAGAGAGATTTGGGAGCACACGCCTGGCAATCAGGGCTCGGCAATAAGTCATAAGGTGTGAAGGGGTAGTTGCATGAAGTCACAGGGTTTGGAAGGAAAGGAAATCAGATGGAAGAGGGAAATGTCATTGACCTGCACTATGACTTGACCTTATGGAGGAACTTGACCTATTCAGTCATGTAACAGCACAATATACTTGCAAAGAGCTACATTTTAATCAGCAGTTAGATCCACTCACACCCATGGTAACATCTTCAGTTGCAAAAGTGAAGTATGAAATACAGTGCGGTTGTGGGGGATACATTGAGGTTCCACTAGGCTTTGATTGGTAATAATCCCCAAAAGCTAAGAACGCTAATGATAGCAACAGATGGATTCTTACTCTCTTCTTCCTCGTCCATTCACTAGCCAAGCAATGAACTCCTTGGCAGCTTGACCTTCCAAGTAAGAGCTGATGTCACTGGTGTAGGTGCCGTCAGCGTGTCTCTCGTATTCGGCATGACGCCTGGCAGGCCCATTGCTAAAAGAAGAACAGTGTCTGAGTGCGTTGGCTACCTCCTCTGAATCATCATCATCATCATCATCATCATCATCATCATCATCATCATCTGTTGTCTTTTGTCCACACTACTTCCCTCCTTGGAAAACCCATTTGAACATGGCATCATACTCTAGCATGAGACACAGCCAGGAGACAGGATCTAGATGGAGCTAAGAATATTGGACCAGCAGGCCAGACGGATACTTTTTGCTGCCTGAGGCACAGGTCAAGATGGCGTCCCCAAGTGGAGAGAATTCTGAAAAGGGTTGTCTTCCCCCAGAGTCTTTGTAATATGTAATATGGAAGCCTGTCTTCAGTACCAGCATATCTGTCCAGCCTTGCTTTAGGGTAATCTACATCATTTGTAAATGGCTGTCCACAATAATATATTGTCTTCCCAGAGACACACAGCATTAGTGTGGGGTGCTTCGAGATGGAGGGGTCCTAGCACTTCTAACCAGAAGCCTTGTGCCTCCGTTCTGTCCTTTTTCCGTAAGGCATTTCCTGCTACATGATAATGAAGATGGGAGCGGCAGTTGGGAAACACAAGAAGCCTGCAAATGGAAGGTGGCAATGCCTGGACCCACACATGAGGCAGTGCATCCTTGCCGGGAAGCCCCCTTGATGAGGAACAAGGATGCGCTTACCAGTGCTCCATGTTGTAGCAGTAAAGGGAGCAGGTTACAAGGAGGTGTTCTCACAGGGTACATTGTCCCGTGTAGAACTCTGGCAAGGGGCAAGCTTGGCTAAACGGCTGTACTTCCCAGTCCACTCCCAAAATGACCTTCAGTCAGATTCAGTTCATCCAGATCCTACATTTCCGGGATTCATGGGGTGTGTGGGTCCAGATAGCATCAATCTCGGGAAGCTGGAGAGACCAAGGGGCTGCCTGTAGCATCCCTCTGTGAATTCTTCTTCAAGACACCAGGAATGTATGCATGTATATATTCTCACTTTTCTGCTATTGCACCTGCTTCCCATAAAAATCTCCTTTTACCAGTTTTTCCTTCCATTTTGAATGCCTGTAAAATTATCTCTATTAGAAATAACTGCATTTTTGTTTGATAGTCCATACTACTATACAGTAGAATAATACCACCCCTATTTGCTTTTTAAATCCTTTCAAATCTGTTTCTGAGATTATTTTGTCTTTGTCCTTGTTTAGTTACACCATGCCTTATGGGGTGTTTTTGTTGTTATTTTTGTTAGTTTCCTGCAATCAAATAAACACACAGCATATTAGTCTAAGAAATAGCTCCCCTTTTACTCGAATCCTATTAAAGGCTACATAAAACTCTGTCAGCTAAGGACTACTTCACTCAGTGTGTGTTCATAGATCTCTACAAAATATTCTGTCTTAGTTGTAAACCACCCAGAGAACTTTGGCTTCAGGTGGAACAGAAAAAATAAAATAAAATAAAAAATGGATGCTCATGGTGCGCATGTGCATTATACAAGTATAAATATCAGGCAGCCATGATTGTCTGGAGCATGTATACAGACAGTATCATGTGCCCATCTTGAATTATTCCACACATCATGGATTTGCAATCACATCATGCATGAAGTAGTCCACATGCCTTGATTAACTTCAGAGAACATGGAGGTGTTGATGTTTCCAACAACACATGTGTCTGCAGGACCAAGAACACGGCTCGTTGCAATAGCGCATACACAACTTGTGCTGAATTTGCCTTTTCCAGGTATCTTGGTTTGCATCTATCTACGCTGGAATTCAGTTGGTTATAAATGCAGCATAAGCCACAGTCCTGAGCCCACTTGTTTGAAGGTTATGTCCATTACACTGAGCAGAACTTGCTTCTGAAATTACTCCCACAGGTTGCCCCTTGCTGAGCAAAGCCAGTGCACCTGACAAAACCTGTTCTATAATGCACAGCTGTCTTCTAATTGCAGCTTAGCATGCACAAAAACCTACTCTGTAGGGACATTTTGGAAACAGGGCCCAAGCTTGGAAGGAGGCTCTATGTTTTACGTGCAGCAATGCCTGAGTTCAGTCCTTGCTACCCTCACCTAAAAAAGGATTAGGCAGCAAGCTATGAGAAAGACCTTTACCTGGAGACCTAGGCTCCAAAGAAGGCCTAGAGAGCCATTGCAAGCCAGAGTGGACACTACTCGGCTGGGTGGCTTAGTGAAGGGCAGGAAGGAGGAACATGTCATCTTCCAGATCGTGTTGGACTACAGCTCCTACCAGCATCTTGCTTATTTATGTATTTTATTTATTTCATTTCTATTTCCCCCACAGCTGAAGCTTTCTCTGTGGTTTCCCGGCATTACCCCACATAGCCAAAAGTGAGAGCTGTTGGGGTTGTGGCTTCTACCGGGTGATGCTGGACTGCCTGCTCTCCTCCGTGTTTACACATGGTGGTAATTTTGCCGCAAGCAGGGTCAGCACCACCACCTCTGGGAGGGCCATGGGCCTGTCTGGGGGAACCGCCTGCCCCCCATCGCGGCAGCAGCAGCAGCAGTACCAACAGGAGATCCCACATGTGCAGCACAGCACCGCACAAGGGTCCTCTAGAGGCCAGTATTTTTCAGAATGTGCAAAAGTATTCATGGTTGTGTTGAGGAACAATTTTTGCTTCATCCCCTCTGTTGTAAAATATTTATCCACTTAAAATATACCTTGAAAGCTGGTCCAGGAGGTTTTCTTTCTCTCTCTCTTCAACTCCTTGTTGTCTGTAGCAGAGGCCCATAAGGAAATTGAATTTACATGGATGGGGGAAAAATCCGTACAATCAGTTAAACGTTACAGTGCTCTTTTGTGACATTTTAATGCACAGGGCAGGAACCATATATGCATTGCATGACTTCTGCATTAACTCCAGGAATGCTATTTAGACTTGCATTATACCTGATGGGTTATCCAGTGTACCCTATAGCTGGAAATGTTCAGCTCTAATTCATACAGCTAAATTAGACATTAAACATTTTCAGACTTTTCTCTGCACAGTGCATCATTTCTTTTTTTACCTTAACATAAATATTTCAGTGAAATACCCTCTCATCTAAGATTGGCATTTAAGAAAAATGCAATCATTTCCTGTTTGAAGACTAATTTGTTTCCAGGTTCAAATCCAGATGATGCAGTATGCATGTCTACCTGTTCAGTTGCTCAGAAGTCAGTACTGAATTATGTATGGTTCCATAATTCATTTAACCCGTGCCCCACCCAACTAAAAGGAGAAAATGTTGCTTTGGAACTATATGGATGTTTATTCACTTGTAAAAGATCCAAAGCCAATTCACATAACCACTCAAGCTCCCAGTCAACCTCCTCCATAGCTTTATGAGGATCACGTTTGGGCTCAGTTGGTGGTTATGACCCCATAGGGAGCAGTTTTACTCACAACAGCTTGGTCTATATTGGGGAGGTTTGAGGCATAAAATAATAATGAGATGGATGTTGCTGGTGGCAAATTATATGGTTGATCCATTTCACATGTCAGAAGGTAGGGGAGAAAAAGTACTCAACTGCAAACAGAATAGTTCTGTGAAATCACTTCTAACACAGCTTTTTCTCTTGGACTAATTCAGACAATGTGCTTAATCACCAGCCTTCTATTAATTCACTTCAGTTTAAGTTTCAAACCCATTTACTAAGCAGCCCTGCTCCACGCAGAGAGGACTACTTCCAAGTAAATATGCTGAGCACCGATAATAACTAAGTTAACAAATAAGCAATTAGTCATTTCACTAATCAACACAATGGGCATGATCCTGCCTCTACCAAATGTACATGGAAAGGCAAGGTGCAGGGTATCCACCACGCGCACCAGAAGCCAGCTGGGGCCAAGAGTTTACATTTGCATTGATCAGATTTAGACTGGTACAAGCCTGATTCAGCACTGCTTTGCATGGCAAAGCAAGGCCAGGCCAGCCCAGGCACCCCTTGCATTCTACCCAGGAATTTTGCACCCCGCCTTTCATGTGCAGCTTCCACTTCCTCGGAGCAAAAGAATGCTTCAGAGGGCCGCAGCCAGCAGTCTCAGAGTGTCTGACTGCGGTCTGTCCAGGGAGAGCCTGACAAGTCCTTTGTTGGTGATCCATATTCAAGGGAGAGCTGGGAAGTTCTCATTTACATACAGGAAGGCTGTCGGGCGATGGCATCGTGCTAAGCCACTGTTCAACTGTTTCTACCTCCTGGCAGGTAAATGTTTGCACATCACATAAAAAGGCAGGATCATGCTCACTGAGACAAATGAGGTCTACATCTATCCTTTCAGCTTGCGTTATCAATTGTTAACCAACACCATCTGACTGAGGCATTATTCAGCAGGCTGATGGGACAAGAGTGATCACGCAGACACAAAAAAAAAGCAAAATAACACACATGATAATGAAACAGCAATGGACAATGACGTATTTGGATGTGACAAACCAAATACTGGTGTGTAAGACAGCAAAGTAGCACATTACTTTGACTGTTTTCATAAAAAATGATGAATGATACACAGTTATGAAAGACTAGTAGTGGAGAAGGAAACAAAACTGATAAAATGTTTAGGAATTCCAAATAGTGCATTACTTTCAAGTATAGTTGTATAGTTTACTCCAGTGATTTTGGGAACCCTGGCATTCCTGGGAAGCTTATTCTGGGAGTTCTCAATGACACAATCAGTAATAGCAGAAAAACTACCCAAAACACAGCTCACCCACCACTAGCTTCCCCTGGGATAAGCAGCAGCAGCAGGGGAAGACTGGATATGTTTTACATCACACTAGCAGTTTGTGACCCAGTTAGCTTCGATGATGCCTATGGAAACTGGTGGGAAGCTTTACAATAGGGCTGACTAAAATGTAGACCCTCACAGATGTTTTGGACTTCAAATTCCTGCCACCATGTCCAGTGGTCAGGAATACAAGGAGTTGAAGTTCAAAAGATCTGGAGCTCTATTCTACTCTCTGCTCTAGAACATTCGCAGAATCCTTTTCAAAGCATAGAAATTCCACGGCAGATAAACAAGAGTTCCTCAGCTGACCAATCAATGTGGAAAGGATTCTTTGAAGATAGGAAGTTCTAAAGCAAGGTGGCAAGGTGTTGGAATGGGTGGTGGCGGGACAACTCCAAGCACTCTTGGATGAGACTGACTATCTGGACCCATTTCAGTCCAGCTTCAGACCCGGGTATGGTACTGAATCGGCCTTGGTCGCCCTGTACAATGACCTGTGCAGGGAGAGAGACAGGGGGAGTGCGCCCCTGTTGGTCCTCCTCGACCTCTCAGCAGCTTTCGATACCATCGACCATGGTATCCTTCTGGATAGGCTAGTGGGATTGGGAGTAGGAGGCACTGCTTGGCAGTGGTTCCTCTCCTACCTCAATGGCCAATTCCAGAAGGTGGTGCTGGGGGACTTTGGCTCTGTGCCATGGCAGCTATGCCATGGAGTACCGCAGGGGTCCATTTTGTCCCCTTTGCTATTCAACATCTACATGAAACAGCTGGGAGAGGTCATCCGGAGGTGTGGACTGCAGAATCATCAGTACGCTGATGATACCCAGCTCTACCTCTCTTTTTCAACCGATCCAGGTGAGGCAGTGGCTGTACTGAACCGGTGCCTGACCGAGGTAATGGGCTGGAAGAAGGTCAATAAACTGAAACTCAATCCAGACAAGATGGAGGTCCTGCTGGTAGGTGGTTTGAACTCCTGGGTAGGTGACTTGGACCTTGGACCTTGCCCTGAATGGGGTTGTACTCTCTCTAAAGGACAGGGTCCACATCTTGAGGGTGCTCCTCGACCCAGAGCTGTCCCTGGAAGCTCAGGGGACTGTGGTGGCGAGGAGTGCTTTCCTTCATCTTCGGTTAATCCATCAGCTGTGTCCCTACCTGGAGGACGAATGCCTCGCGACAGTGACACATGCATTGGTTACTTTCTGATTGGATTTCTGTAATGCGCTCTACGTGGGGCTGCCTTTGAAGACAGTCCGGATACTTCAGATGGTGCAAAGTAGAGCAGCCAGGTTGCTGACAGGGACTGGGCATTACTCTCATATAACCCCAGTCCTCTACCAGCTTCACTGACTTCCCATCGAAGTCTGGGCTCAATTCAAGGTGCTGGTTATTACCTAAAAAGCCCTTAATGGCTTGGGACCTGAATACCTAAAGGAACGCCTTCTTCCATATTTGCCCTCCCGCCCCTGAGATCAGCAGCAGAGGCCCTCCTCTGGGAACCCTCCGTGAAAGACATTAGGAGGCAAAGTACCCGGAGGAGGGCTTTCTCTGTGGTGGCGCCCTGCCTATGGAATGTGCTCCCCAGAGAGGTCTGCCTGGCGCTATCTTTATTTGATTTTCAGCGCCAGGCTAAGACCTTTTTATTTAAACGATATTTTAATAACTTTTAACATCAGCTTATAGGTTTTAATATGCAGCCAGGGTGGATCTGGATTTTATTTGTATTATGTTTTATTTTATTTTATGTAAGCCGTCCTAAGGCTATGTGATGGGACGGAATACAAATACTCTAAATAAATGAATAAATAGAGAAATAAAGCTCCTGCTTTAATATACCATAAGGTTACCTTGCGGGAAGAAAGCCCAGATGTGACTTTTCCACATGGAGATCCCCATTTCATATAGATAAATGTGCACAGAGATCAAGTTTAAGAATGTCTGTAAGCGTGTTACTGGCATTCTACCTTCCCACACTTTTGCTCACCTTCTTCTAGGAGGGATCATGGTTCACTGGAGCATAGTACGCACTTGGCGTACAGAAAGTCTGCAGCTCAGTCTCCAGCCATTAGGCCGGGCAACAGGTAATGGGAAATTCCTCTGCCCAAGATGCTGGAACATTGCTGGTGCCACCCAGATGTCTTGGGCTTCAAACCCTTTCCACTCCAGCTAGCACGGCCAATGGAGAGGAATTCTAGGAGTTGCCATCCCTGGCATTTGGAGGACTCTACCTTGGGGAAATCGGCATTCGATGGTCCTAGGTCAGATGACCAAATAATCCAATCCAGAAAAAAACGTTATTTGTGGGAAAGACCATGATGTAACAGCAAAACTGAATGCTTTAGATGCAGAAGTACCATTTCCAGTCCCTAGCATCCCCACTTGGAGAGGGCAAAGAGCCGTTTGGCAGGCCTTGGACAACCACCGCCAGTCAGTGTAGACAGCACTGAACTGGATGGGCCCATGGTCTGTGTTGGTGTAAGGCAGAATCCTATGTTATAGATCCCAGCTCAAATGTCACCACATATTAGGGTCCTATTGTATATTATGTTCTCTTTTATGCATACCTCACTCGAGAACAGTATATCGATTGTGCCATGAATCATATTATCTTCTATGAAACCACATGCCAGGTTTATCATGATCCTGCATTTGATGGCATTAAACATCTTGGAGACTTTTTCAATCAACTCCTTCAAATGAGCTTGTTTCAGAAATATTTCATTAATGACAATATATTGCCATTCTTCTGATTCAACTGCTATAGATGTTAATGTTTGTTTCAAAAATGTCTGAACTTGTGTCTGTGTGTATACATTAGCTGTTGTCTTATATACAGTTATCTTGAATTAAAGCTTATAACAAACATTATGTTGCAGCACATTGAATATTTGATATGAAATGTATGAAATTGAATTCATACATGGATCAGCTGCTATCACATCCTGGCCTGCTCAATCTTTCTTTCTTTCTTTCTTTCTTTCTTTCTTTCTTTCTTTCTTTCTTTCTTTCTTTCTTTCTTTCTTTCTTTGGTGTGGCTGAATACTAGCTACTGATTTTTGATGAATTTCCATGGACATTTTAAATGGAAAGGTGCTATTAAAATGTTTTTAATAAATGCTATTAACTAGGCCTATCATCTTGGCTGAGCTTAGCTGTGTAGCAGAGTTTATGATGTTGTGCTGGCACAGCTGTCATCTTGCTCCATCTGGGCAGTTGCTTTTCTACATATGGCAACCAATACAGTAAGGCTTGTGTTGAACCCAGTTTAAATCCAAGCCTATTGGTTCAAGAGGAATATAGGTCACACTAAGAGATGTTCAGGATGTGGACCAAAATACAGCACAAAATTTTATGTGTTTAGACTCCATACATTTCAACAAGATGTCTTACTGTGTCAATAACTGCACTGGAGTGTGGAAGAGGACACGATCCATTTGGGCATTCTCCTGTGTGTGTCCTTTTGAAATAAATGGTGGTTATACAAGTGAACAGTAGTCACTATTGCACAATTCCCAATCATTTCAGAAGAATTTTCACAGGGAAAGTTTCCATTGCTTTGTTCTGTTAGGACTTCTCTACTTGAGGCATTTGTTGTGGATGAGTAGTTGTTCCCTGTTCACGGTTGCTTACAGATTCCATAGATGACGACATGACCCTCTAGTTCTGCTTTTCTGTCTAACCAGCACTTTCAGCATTTTTTAAGAGCAGGGAAAAGCAGCACTTGGGTGTGAAAGCAAAAGAAACTGCAACGTCTTTCTGTGTATTTGTGACATTCCGCTATCCCACAGAGCCATGTAATTAAAAAGCTAGAGAGGAAATATTTCTTGTGCAGTGCTTGGATCTCAAGGCTGTGATTAAACCAAAAGTAGATGCTTTGGAATAACAGCTAAGAACAGCTGAACATCTTTACCCAACTAGCACCAGTTTGAAAATTTATTTTTTTTTAACCTAGTATTTCTACCTCCAGATGCTGGAGAACGGGGCAATGATTGCCAAGGTGCTCCTGTAATATATAAAACTGTTACTAAGAACCCTGCACCACTGGAAGAGAGCAGGACATATATCAGCATGGATGACTGATGGATTGACGGACTGATGGGTAGATGGATGTAGGGTAGATGGGTGATGGGCGAGATGGGTGGATGGCTGAGCGGGTGGATACAGAGAAGTGGCTCCAGCTCTGTGAATCCTGGGGAAATTAAGCTGGGTGAAGGGGATCTTATCACTACATGGGTCTCCCCAGGTGATAACATTCCCCCCAGGCCATAATGTATAAGGGATGGGGTGTGGGATGGTAGTGGTGGGAGTCCATTTTGCTTACCCGCTTCTTTTAGTGTTCATTAACCACTGTACAAAATCTTGAGCTCGTCTCATGTCCAAGTACTTGCTGTAATCGCTGGTGAATGTACCTTGTGAATGGCGCTTGGCTTCATTCAGCTGTCTAGAGTCATCTAACGGTTCAGCCTGGGAGGCTTTGAACGATCTATAAGTGTGGTTTGTGACACATTAATGGCACTGAAGACGGCACATTTGCAAGGTGCTGGACCATGGGCAGACCTTCTTAAAAGACAAACATGTTCTTAAAAATTGCTGCTAAGAAAGGATTGTTAGTTGCCTGATAACTGCTTAGTCATAGGACAAATAGATTCTTTTTAGACGTCAGTAGCAAGAACCAAAGGCAGTACTGGTTGAACTAACAGTCTGCTGTGCAGCGGTCTCATCCAACGTGCAGTGGAAGGAAAAACTAAAAATTCATGTTAGCATCTTAAGGGGATTTCTATGCCACACTCCTCTAGAAGGAAATACATAGCCTGCATTTAAGTTAGTATTAGAAATTTAATCAGGGGTATTTACCTGGATTTCTCTTCTGTTTCCTGAAGGGGACTTTGCCAGCTACTTTGAACAATCATTAAAAGCAGACCGGCCACCATGTACATGCTTTTCATTTTTGTCACCTGTGGACAGGAATGGAGGGCAAACAGTCATTGCAACTTGTCTGGCTTCATTCACATATTTGGGGACCCCCAGCTTAAGGCACTCTGGTTGATTCAGGTGTTCTCTCTCCCTGTGGCAAGAAGCCACCAAAATCAGTTCTGTGTGACAGAGGAATTAACATAGGAAGCTGCGTTTTGCTGCGCCTGAGTATGTTCATCTAGCTCTGACTGGCAGCAGTTCCTTGCACGGTCTTCAGCAGACGGCCTTTCCTCATGCCTGCTATTGAATCTTTTGCAGCAAGAGATGCCAGGGATGGAAGCTGGGAACTTCTGCATGCAAAGTAACACATTTAAAAATGCAAAGCACATGAACAATTTTTGTGCTCAGCCATACTGTCCTGGTGGCTGTCAGTACAGCCGTGAGGTTTTCCTGTACAGCTGGAATAAACTGTTCATGCAACCTTGGGATCAAATGTTGCTGTGCAGAAATTGTGGCAGCTTCCGTCATGATGGCATAATGCAAAATATAAACTATGATACTTCGAGTAACTGGTAGTTATGGTTGCTTTCCTGTATTTAGGACTGGGCTGCTAGACAGACTCTGGGTGAAACAAAATTTTGTACATACAAGAAAAAAAGGTAAAATAGACTTTGGCTCTAATGTGCAAAATGACTTTTTGTTTTTTGTTTTGGTTTCCCCTGCATAAAGAATTAAAAGGAACTTTCACCACATCTCACAACCTTTATAGGGATTTCTATTTACCCTTACCGATACTTACACTTATATCTGCTTACCAATTTGCACAATAACTGGCACAATAAGCAAAAGTTGCTTCTCACAGCCACTCTGAAAGTGATGGCATTGACCTTAATTACAACTAATCAGCAAACTGATTTAAATAAAACTCAGTTGGGTGCAACAAACCTTTGCTAGATTGCACCCAGTAATACATTTTGCAGCATTTTAAAGAGAAAGTATAAATAATGCTGCTATTAATATTTGCATTTTTCCACCTCAAACCCAGACACAGGTTTCTTTTCTTGATGACATTCAGTAGAGCAATGCTGCCTCCCAGTGCTGCTTCGTTGGAGAACATGTTCCCACCCCTTCCCCTAGAACAGCAGAGATGCTGAATGGTTCAACATTGAAAGACAGCCTCTTTCGGTGTTAGGTTGGGGGAAATGACCAGAAAACATCCAGAGAATCATGATTGCTACATAAGAAATGTTAGACACAATGGCGAAGATTAGGAATTCTTGGAAAATGTCTTGAGAGCCTGTTCTGATTCAGGACTGCAGGTTATGCTTATGTATATGCAGGAATGCAGATTTCTATGGAAGCCTGGCTAGAGTAGGAGAGGTGGATCAGGCATGGGTTTGAAATCTGCCTGGTCATGAAAACCACCGTGTCTGAGCACCTTATAGAAGATAAAAATGGGACCTAAACTCCATGATTTCTCCCCTGAACTACAGAAAATAACGATAATGATCATGATTATTAATAACAATATTATTCACATTTCTATAGGAATGGGACTGAAAATATGTATGCTGGGACTTTAGTGTGATTTTAGAAGAATGAGCAGGGAAATTTGATACTAGCAGCCACCCCAGGCAAGATAATTAAACAAGGGAGATTTGACATGACACAAATAGTGTACTCATTCACCAAGAGGAGAGGAGAGGAGAGGAGAGGAGAGGAGAGGAGAGGAGAGGAGAGGAGAGATCAGTCAAGGAAGCCAGACCAATGCAGTATTAATAGCATATACATGCAGCTTGAACTTGGACTGAAAATAACTCAAAAGACTGTGGCAAAATTCCTGTTGTTTCCCTGAATTTGGTACAAACCATATAATATAACCCCAAGATGGGAGAAAATCTGTGGGCAGAGAGAAGTCCAAAGACACATTTCCAAAGGAATCATCTGCCTTCAGATCATTCTCAGAGTAACATGAAGCAATTCCTGTTAGTAATCCGTCATCATTCCTTTCTTAGAAACTGAAATGCTGACTTGGAATATGCTGGATCCAGTTTAGTCTTATTTAGCAAAGACTCACTGAAATGAATCTTAGCAGTAAGGACTAACTCAAGTCCCATTGATTTCAATGTGTCTCTTCCTGGTATGGCTAATTCTGGATTCAGCTCAGGATTCATTCCTGCCAGCCTGTCTTTTGTGGGGAATAAGAAATGATGGAATTACCCAATATTTTTATAGGACTAGAGTGACTTCTCTTTCCTTGTTAGACTATAAAAATTATAGAAATCTCGAGCATCATAACTCAAAGCTCAGATGAAAACATAATTAAAATATAAATGTATGTGTCACTTTTTAGAAGAATGACTAGTATGTTATCTGTGCCTGGAACAAGAGCCGACAGCTGAAATCCTAAACATACTTACTAGGGAAGATTTATTGAATGAATGGGAATCTACTGCAGAGTAAATTTGCCAAGGATAGGACTACACTTTCCTTGGTATATGGTAACATACCACCAGTGAATTATTTTAAATTCTGAAAAGTCTACGAAATATGCATTGATATTATTCTATATTTGATGGCTGCCTCAGATTGAACTAAAGCTGTAAAACACTGTGAAGTTGGGACTAAAAAGACCATGCAAAGGTTATAGTCCAGCTATTTTATACTATACTTTCACCAGATGTGTTTGCATCACAGCAGCAAGACTCCTTTATTTTAAATATAAAGGTAAAGGTTTCCCCTTGACATTAAGTCCAGTCGTGCCTGACTTTAGGGGGTGGTGCTCATCTCCGTTTCCTGGCTGAGGGAGCCAGCGTTTGTCCACAGACAGTCTTCGTGGTCATGCGGCCGGCATGACTAAACACCCAAGTGCACGGAACGCTGCTACCTGCCACCGAAGTGGTACCTTTTTATCTACTTGCGTTTGCATGCTTTTGATCTGCAAGGTCGGCAGGAGCTGGGATGGAGCAACTGGACACCCGTTGTACACCCCGTTGTACAGGACACCCTGTTGTACAGATTCGAACTGGCGACCTTCGATCAACCAGCCCAGCAGCACAGCAGTTTAAGCCACTGCGCCACCTGCAGTCCCATTTTAAATATACAAAATCCTTAATCCTAAACACATTTCCTTTGTAAGTGCATTTATTTCAGTAGCTCTGTCTCCCCACCCCCAATATATACTTGTATATAAACTTGGCTACTGAGTTCAGACGTGTATGCTCATCATCTGATGACTTGAATTTGCATGCATAAAACAGCCAGTGCAGACCAAGCTGAAGCTTTCTGCTGTCATTGGGCATTAGTTTCTATACAATTTGTTCTCAATGGAAACCGCTCATACATTCAAGCAAGATTCTTGAGTGTTAGGCCACTGAGGCAACCGTCCTAATATGCACCCTTACTTGGGGGTAAATTTCATTTAATTCAACAAGGTTTACTTCCAGGTGGCCCTAGATAGGATTGTGCAGCATGTGAAATACATGCAATTTTGAAAGTAGACCCTAGTTCTATTTTTCTGCAACTAAAATTTACTAATTTGTCATTACTAATGTGCTGCTGACCCCAATTAAAGTAAATGTTCTGGTCTCAAGGCAGCAGTCCTGGGCTTAGCTTGTTTTCTTGCAGCTGTTGTTTTTGGAATGTCAAAGGCTGTGACTGGGCATCCTTGGGATTCAGAGTGATATTTGGTTAACGAAATAAGGAAACCAGGAAGGGATTTTTCCCAGTGAAACTGAGCCTTGAACCCAGCTGCTTTGAATCATGTTGCCTTTAGTACAAAGGAACTGCTTTCCTTGCCTGGACCAAGGAGGCAGGTGATGCAGACAGCATCTGTTTATATCTATGGCAGAGACTGAAGGCACGCGATGTAACGGAACTAATAATAAAAAACACAGAATAATCCATTCAAGTTGCAACAACCCAGATTCAGGCTGGACATCAGGAAAAGCTTCCTCACTGTCAGAGCAATACGAGAGTGGAACCAGCTGTCTAGAGAGGTGGCGGGCTCTCCCACACTAGAGACATTCAAAAAGAAACTGGACAGCCATCTGAGTGGGATGGTATGACTTGGTGTCCTGCAACTTGGTGTCCTTCATGGCCCCTTGCAACTCTACCGTTCTATGAGCCTATGAACTGGAGCCGGTTGGTGTTTGGAGACTGCCTTGAAAGCCCATGTAAACCACCTCAAGTTCTATGGGAAAAGAAAGATGGAATAATAGGGGGGAGGAGGAGGTTTTGCATGTGAGGCTGGGTGCTGGTAGCTACAATCTAAGGCAGGAAAGTGGAAGTGATTTGTTTCCCCACACTAGCTACAAGGCAATGGGAACCTTAAGAATAATGCCAGTGCACGTCCATGAAGTGGGGGACAGGACTAGGATTCCCATGTGATAATTAACAGTGCAGTCCTGTACATGCCTATTTAGAGTTCAGTGGGACTTACTCTCAGTTAAGAGTGCACATGACTGCAATCTAAAGCACGCATGTTTTTTGGCTTTAGGATGGAGCAGCGACTCACTCCATCTTTCTTTCTTTCTAAAACCCTTCTTGCACTGTGCATAACAAGGTCCTATTACATCTATCACATGGTAGCAATGCTTCAGCCAACAACTTTTCTGCCTTTAAGTTCTGTATTGTTTCAAATAGCACACAGAAATTAAGAACCTAGGAAAAGCCCTGCAGGATCAGACCAAGGGTCCGTCCAGGCCAGCACTCCACTCCGTACAGACGGTGGCAAACCAGCTGCCCACAGGACCCCTCAGGCAGGACGGGTGCAAGAGCTCCTCCTGCCCTAGCTCCTCAGCCACTGGTCAGCGCAGGCACGCTGCCTCTGGGAAAGGAGGCAGCACACGGCCAGCGAGGCTAGTAGCCGCTGACAGCCTCCTCCCTCATGGATCTCTCCAATCCCTTTTTGAAACCATTTCTCTGAAATTGAAAAATTTATAGCTGAACTGTACTTTTAATTAGGGCCAACCAGAGTGCCATAAAAAGGGATGCAGGCTTTTGGGGAATAAGGAAGCACCTGAACACTAAATTACATTTCCCT